CTTTCATTCTCTCGTTCATGTTCTTATGGGTTTTGCATAATTTTAATATGTAATACTAGCTGAAGGGCCCCGCGTTGCCCTCGGAAAATAAAAGTTGAAAAAAAAATTTTAAAAAGAAAAAGAAATTTGAGAAAAAATATTTTTGAATTTATTTTTAGCCTATTACACCCCCCAAACACTTTTGAGTTTCCACAAAAAAAATTCAGCCCAATCGGTCCAGCCGTTTGCCGGCTATACTCAACATATATATATATATATATATATATATATACGAATGTCTTGTTTTATTACATAGATACTGGAAACTTCAATGTAATAAACGACTATTCGGGAACCTTGTTTTTAAATTTGTTTTATACACTTCTTGTTGCTATGAAGTTGAAACCAAAGTTTTAGGTTAAGTGATTCCTGAGACCGAATTTAAATAATTTGATCCGCGGCTTAAATTTAAGCCGCGGCATAAATATGGTTGGTTCCACTAAAAATTGTATACAATTTTTTAAGATTTAAGCCGGCGCTCAATTCAAACCGGTTTTTGGTGGATTTGATTCATTGATTGATTCATTAAATTCTGACACTGGATATTAAAAAATGGCAAGTTATCTAAATTTACATATATATAGGGTTATCCAGAAAAAATAAGCCTTCAGAGAGAACTATACAGAATGTAAACTGTCTGTTTCCTGATATTTCTGATTCCCTGAATCCGTTCACTTGTTCTTTCACTGGGAAATTTTTATATAAGGAATATTCTTCAGATGAAACCTTGGAATTGTCAGATTTTTAGAGTTTCAGGTCGTCTTGACAGTTCTACATTATTAAAATGTATTTATCCCACGATGGAAGGGGTGGGGGGGGGGGGGAAGTGTTTTATTCGAATTGTGGAATCGTGGAAAAGAAATACACCTTCTAAACTAATTTTACTACCATGCAGTAATAGGATCTTTAATTTGCATAAATTTTTTTCAAAAAGAGATAAATATTTTGTATCAAATTTTCTTGGAAAATTGATTAAAATGATTTTAGAACTTTTCCGTTACTGGCTGGTTCAACTGAATTTACATATTTTTTTCGAATTCTGTAGAATTAAATTTAAAAGATTTAATTCTATCTAATGTTTATATTAAGCCCTGTATTTAATCTATATAATTCTGGAGTTGTGGATAATAATCTTAATTGAAAAAATAGATGAACACATTTTTATTCCAAACAAAATAATTTAATTATAGAAAACTGAAATATAAAATAATTACATTTGAACAACATTTATGCAGAGCTAAAATTTTGATTGGCGTTTTAAACTCATGAGACTGCAATTGCATTTCTGGTTCTTATGGCTCAGCTACATTTTGCCTAGTCACAATTTGCCTAGTCACATTTTGCCTAGTCACATTTTGCCTAGTCACATTTTGCCTAGGTAACAGTTTGCCTAGGTAACATTTTGCCTAGTAACATTTTGCCTAGGGTAACAGTTTGCCTAGAGTAACAAAAGAGCGAATTTTTTGCCTAGTCAATAATTTTTTCACGAAGAAATTTTCATCAATCCGAGAATTTTTTTTTTAAATCCGCAAATTTTTGAAAATCATTCAGTTTCCTTTAACCCAATCAGAAGGAGAGACACATTGAAAATGGCTCCCATGATAACTGCAGGGCTTACAAGGCGGGGTAAGTCAAACTACAGAGATAAGAATAACTTCTATTATGTTTTCAATGGGGAGAGGGCAGAGAACAAGAATTGGCGCTGTTCCCAGAGATCATGCACTGCAACCCAAACAACGAGGATATCTACTGGAAACCTGGTAGGGGATGTACTCCCAACCCAAGGCCATATCAACAAGCTGCTGAAGACTAAAGCTAAGACCACAGAAAAGGCTGGGTGAAATTTGTTGTAGAAGCTTTCCATACCATGCCGAAAGCTGATTATATCCAAACCCTTGCACATGACCAGCAGAAGATAAATAATGATAAATAAAGATCACCTGTATGAATTCCTATGTATACTCCATGATTATGTAAAATGTATTTAAAAAATATATATATATGTCTGATACATAACCATATTTTATCTTTTGTAGAGTGACAGGAATGTTAAAATTGCTGTACAGAATACAATTCAATTCATTAATTTTAATTCATTAAAATTTATCTGGTTAAACTTTAAAAAAATGTTTAATTCTTGACAAAATTTGTTTTTTATAAAAAATTATTGACTAGGCAAAAAACATGCTCTTGCGTTACCTAGGCAAAATGTTACCCTAGCCAAAATTGTACTAGGCAAACTTGAACTAGGCAAAAAGTTACCTAGGCAAAATGTTACCTAGGCAAAAGTGAACTAGGCAAAATGTGACTAGGCAAAATGTGACTAGGCAAATTGTGACTAGGCAAAATGTAGCTGAGCCGTTCTTATTATTCCATTTTATAATGGTAACCACTGTATAAAAATAATTTTTATTTCTGCACCGACAAATTGAAATGCCATCAATTTACGAAATATATATTTTTGCAAAACACTAGGTTCTCAATGTTACTGCAAATGTATCAAATATAAGTAGTTTATGATCTATATAAAACAGGGTTACCCGCAAAAAATGAGACTTCAGAATGTTATAAGAATGTTAGGCTTCATCGACCTTTAAAGTTTTTTTTGGATCCAAAAGTTAGGCAGATAATTGGAATTATATTGGAATCAAAAGATTTTTTTCAGGGAAAAAAAAATTTAATTTACGAGACTGACATGATTACTTTTTCTCGGAAATATAGAAAGGTCTTATTTAGAATTTTAAAAAATTCAGAATCCTAAAGTGTTGAAAGTTGAGCAAAATATTGGGTAAAATAATATTTTTTATGATGGAAAAAACGGTTTAAAAAGAACAGTATTTTAATGCTAATTTGCTATAATTTTTATTTGTACATTTTGATTAAAATAGAAATTTATGTTTCCACAGATTTTATTTAGTCTCATGGGAGAAATTCAAAATTGTTTAAATTAAATTTTTTTTGAGGCAACATTTGAAAATTTATGTCTGTTCCTTCCAAGTCTTTAATACAATTAAGCATCCTTCTTGTTTATTCTTAAATAGAATTACAATAAGTCTATTTAATAAATTATTTTCTATTTCCATTATTTCTGCTAAATATATTTCTCTGCAGATTAATCTGTGATGATTCAGAAATCAATTTAAGGAAATAATTAGTTTAAACTTTAAAGTTTTAAACTTGAGGTAAGCTTGATTCTATTTTAGAAATATTTTGGAATTTCTATTTTTTAACACAAATTTTTTTTTCCAGATACAAAAATAATATTGTAAGTAGCATATGAATTTTGTGATACAAAATACCATAATTTAAAATATTTAATTTACATTCGCTAGTTACTCTATAGCAAAAAGCCAGGGTTAAATCTTAAAAACAAAATACAGAAGTAAAAAGAAAGAGTAAATTGCATTTGAGAACTATTTTGATGTCAGGTTAATTTATTTTTGTTGTTCTATTATGAGTTTTTATTGTCTTATTTGAAATCAGGAAATAATAGCGTCTAGAGTATATTTTCATTTTAGCTTTTAAACATTTCAATGCCACAATCTTTTCGTCGTTCATCGAAAAATCTAAGAAATTTCAAAGATTTTTTCTTATTTCATTTACGGAATTCAAAGATATTTCCAAAATTTATAATTTTAAACATGCTATTCTATAATGCAGGCCGCAGGATTGACATTTGCGATTCTATATGCAGGGTTGACATGTAAGATCCTACATGAAGGGTTGACATTTGCGATTCTATATGCAGGGTTGACATGTAAGATCCTACATGAAGGTTTGACATTTGCGATTCTATATGCAGGGTTGACATGTAAGATTCTACATGCAGGGTTGACATGTAAGATCCTACATGAAGGGTTGACATTTGCGATTCTATATGCAGGGTTGACATGTAAGATTCTACATAAAGGTTTGACATATAAGATTCTACATGAATGGTTGACATTTGCGATTCTACATGCAGGGTTGACATGTAAGATTCTACATGCAGGGTTGACATGTAAGATTCAACATGCAGGGTTGACAAGTATGTCCTAGCCGCAGTGCTAGGTCCCCATTGCAGCTTGCGGTGCATCAAAGTGCCTAACCTTACCTTTGGGAAGTTACTGCTTGAGAAATTGCACAATTGGGAAGTTGCCTACGACATAGGGTTGCAAAGAAATATGAATTAGAAATTCAGAGTTTGTTGCAAAGACTCATTTCCTTTAATGCCGAAGGTATCAATCTTGTTTTGAGTGTAGATAATTTCTATTCAAGTTGTCTTCTTGGCTTTAGATTAGCAATAAATGGATTGCAAAATATTTTGCAACTTTGCAAACTTTCAATTAAATTTTGCAAGTAAGACACCTCAGAACTTTAATTTGATTATTTTTTTGTTTTGGAAATGAATCTACAGAGATGTTTTTCATATTATTTTTTTGATATTTTTTATTCGTTTATTTTTATTTTATACATTATAAATAAAGGAAGAGCTGTTTTGCAAACTTTTAATTCAATTTTGCAAGTTATAAACCTGAAGAACTTTAAATTTTTTTCTTATTTTGGAAATCAATCTTAAGAGTTTTTTTTGTTATTTTTTGTTATTCTTTATTCGTTCATTTTAATTTACTAGATTAGAAATAAACAACTTCACTGCAGAGGTTTTGTAAACTTTATAAATCAATATTTCAAGTTAAATTCTTTCTAAGCTTTAAACTATTCTGTCTTACATTTCTGTCTTGTGTTTGTAATTATCATAAATCTTACAGATTAGAGTTACAAAATTACTATATTTCTAACTTACTCGCAATAAGATTTATTCACGCTTCTCTTTCTAGTTTAACATTCTGTTAATTTATTTATTTTAATAATGTACTTTGGCGGTCGGCTATAATGACGAAGAGTTTAAAACGATTAACTATATTTTAAACTTAAATTTACAAAGTTAGAAAAAATCATATCTTGAATATCACATGTTTAAACTACGTGGCCTCAGAAACTCCTCTTTTCTCTCTAGCTGCCGCGAGAGGTTCTCTAAGGAAAAGACGACTTTCATAGCCGCCACAGTAGTCCCCCCTAGAAGGAACGGCGGAGCAGATCCTATTATCTCTGGAAGACCTGTGAGGGTTCCGACGAACAGGAACAGATGGCGGAAGAACCTTGGGAACCAGCTTGAACCTGACCTTCTTGGGTAATCTGGTGGCAGAGGAAGGCGGAGGAACTGAAGGAAAAGATTTTGGATTCAGTCTGGGTCTTCCTCGAGGCGGAGGAACCGAGGGAGTCACCGGAGTATCACTGAAAACAGGCTTCAGACGATCTACTGAAACTACGTCCTGTTTAGAACCGATCTGGAGGCGGAAGTACTTGTCCTGTCCGTCTAATACCAAGTAAGGGCCTCGATAACGTGGAGCCAAGGATGAAATAACTGCATCTTCACGAACAAACACGTACTTAGCTGAGACAAGAGCTGTAGGTAGTTTAGCAGATGGAACAGGACGAACATGATGAGGCGGAGAAATGGCGAATCCTTCAATAGCTCTGTCAACTTTCCTGAGAAAGGAATCAGGGAGGAGTTCAGGGACGTCTACAAGTTCACCAGGTAGGGTCAGAGGAGAACCATACACAGCCTCGGAAACTGAGAGGCCAGTATCATCCTTCAGAGTTGCTCTCAAACCCAAGAGAACTAGAGGTAGGTGAGAGAACCAATCAGAACCTGCTAACCTGGCTTGTAGAGAAGACTTGAGACTCCTGTGGAACCTTTCAACCATACCATTACTTTAAGGATGAAAAGAGGTCGTTGTGGAGGTTGAAATTCCTAACATAGAACAAACTCTAGTCCAGATTGAAGACGTGAATTGAGAACCTCTATCAGACATGATAACTGCAGGAACTCCGAATCTTGAAATCCAGGTTGAGATTAGAGCACGAGCACAAGAGTCAGCTGAGATGGAGGACAAGTGAACGGCCTCCGGCCATCTCGTAGTTCTGTCGATCATGGTGAAAAGATATGTAAAACCATGGCTTGATGGGAGAGGACCAACAAGATCCACATGAATGTGAGAAAATCTCCGGGTTGGTACTGGAATAGGAGAAATTGTAGAATGAACATGAGTTGAAATCTTGGATTTTTGGCATGAAATACACGATTTGGCCCACAAACCAACATCTCTGGACATTCCTGGCCAAACAAATCTTGATGAGATCAATCTCTTCGAAGCTCTGACACCAGGATGAGAAATACTGTGCAGTTGTAAGAATAATTTGTGTCGAAGCTGAAGAGGGACTAAGGGACAAAGTGAATCAGTTGAAATATCACAAAAAATATCATCATTTCCAACGGAATGAGAAATCACTGTAAGAGATGGATTAACTTTCATTTCTTGCACGGATGAACACATAGTTTGAAACTTGGCTAAACTTGAAGCATCCAAATCGTATAACGAATTATCTCCGCCTGGAGCTGGGACCAATGCGGATGTAGAGAGGGAACAAGGAGAAAAATCCGACATCTCCGACATCTCCGACACCTCCGACACCTCCAACACCTCCGACACCTCCGCACCAGGAACAGGAAGGGCGTGAGTGTGGATAGATTTGGAGGAAGACTGGAATGGTTTGGAGTTAGGTTTCGGGTCGGAGCAAGGTTTAATTGGACCTGGAGAAATTGAAGATGAACCAGGGGTAAAACTTGGAGATGAGACAGGGGAAACTGGGCGGGAGAGGGCGTCAGCTACTACCTTCTCCTTGCCAGGAATGTGTACAATGGAATTAGTGAACTCTGCCAGGTATGCAAGATGTCTCTGCTGGCGAGCTGACCAAGGAGGACTCGTCCTGAACAAAGCATGAGTTAATGGTTTGTGGTCAGTAAATATTGTGAATTCTCTACCTTCTAGCATGAATCTGAAGTGTCAAACAGATGAAAAGGCTGCCAGGAGCTCTCTGTCAAAGGCGGAGTATTTCTTCTCAGCATCAGAAAGTTTCTTAGAGAAGAACGCCAGCGGAGCCCAAGAATTGTCGCGTAGCTGCTGTTGAAGAACAGCTCCAATGTGAGAATCTGAGGCATCTACAGACAGAGATATTGCTGTGTTGGTCTGAGGGTGAACTAGTTCCGGAACAGCTGAAAGGAGTAGTTTGGCTCTGTTGAAAGCAGAGTTCATGAGTGGAGACCAAGAAATAGTTTTTCCAGGGCCTTTCAGAGCATCAGTGAGAGGAGCAAGCACCTGAGCTGCAGAGCGGAGAAATTTCCTGTAAAAATTAACCATTCCGAGAAACCTCTGGAGGCTGGGTTTGTCTGAAGGTTGTGGAAAGGCAGAGATGGCGTCGGAGTGTTTCACCAAGGGAGAACATCCAGAGGAAGTGAGGCGGTGTCCCAGGAACTCAATTTCCGTCACAGCAAACTGACACTTAGGCAGACCAATAGTAAGACCATGTTCTCGACAGAGGAGTAAAACGTCTCGGAGGTGCTGAACATTAGAAGATAGATCTTTACTAAAAACCAGAATATCGTCAACGTAGACAAAACAGAAAGGAAGATCTCCAAGGATTTGATCCATCAAGCATTGAAATGTGTTTCCAGCGTTACGTAATCCAAAAGGCATCCTCAGGAGCTCGAACATCCCGAAGGGGGTGATGATGGCAGTCTTCTGGATGTCCATCTCCTCGACAGGTACCTGATAATATCCCTTCTGAAGATCTAACTTGGAGAAAATAGTTGAACCACTAACTCCTGAGGAAAAATCGGCGATGTTGGGAAGAGGATAATGGTCAGGCACAGTGGCGGTGTTTAGACCGCGGTAATCGCCGCAAGGTCTCCAACCTCCATCCTTCTTCTTGACCATGTGTAGTGGAGAGGCCCAAGGAGAAGTAGAACGGCGGACAATCCCAGACTTTTCCATAGCGGAGAATTCTGCTTTAGCTAAAGCAAGTTTAGCAGGATCCAGTCTGCGAGCTTTAGCAAAAATCGGCGGGCCAGGGTTGGTGAGAATGTGATGACGAACCTTATGACGTGACGGAGAAGCAGTGAAACCATCGGATTGAAGTACATCAGGAAATTCTTCAAGAAGGTCTGACATGCACTGAGGAGTGGAGAGAAAGGCTGCTTGCATCTGCGTGGTTGAGTCAATGGAGAAGAGGATAAATCAATCTTAGAACCAATAGAATAGCTGTTGGAGAATACCTTTTTGCTCCTCAAGTTCATGCTTAAATCATGATGGTGACGAAAATCTGCTCCAAGGATTGGAACAGAAACTGGAGCTAGCTGGAAAGTCCAGGAACAATTCCACGTTCCAAACCGTAAAGGAATAATTCTGGAACCAGAGCAGGTTAAAGTTGACCCATCAGCCGTGAGTAACCGAACACCAGAAGTTGAAGATGAGGTCGTAGATGGAAAAACCGAAATTGAAGCCCCCGTGTCGACTAGAAAACGACGGTTGGAGAGACCATCATGGAGATAGATTAGAGCAGAACTCGTTGAACCGGCAGGCAGGGAAGAAACATCCTCCTAGTTTCCCGACCAGGCACATGGAGCTTGACAACTGATGGCCTTGGAACCGAACTTGGCATGGTACCAGCAAAAGGATGGTGAAGCTGGATGGCGAGATGGAGCTGCAGGAGTTTGAGAACGGCGGGTAACTGGACTAGAAGTTCTCTGAGAGCGCTGATTACGGCGGTTCTGCCTAGAAGGAGGAGTATTAACAGCATGCACTGAATCCAAGGCGTTTACCGATGAATTAGAAGACAAACTACTCCGGTATATCTCGTCGGCACATTGAGAGAAAACAGCAATATCGGCGGTTTTATCGTGGACTAAATGAGATCTGACATCAGATGGAAGTTGTCTCAAGAACGCATACCGCAGGAACAAGCACTCCTGATGTTCTATAGGAAGGAGAGCCCTTATCCTGGATAAGAGAGCTGAAGGAAGCATATCTCCAGACAGAGGTAGTGACATGATGGATTCACAACGTGCATAGTCTATTAGAGAATGTGTCTGTAGAAGACGAGACCGCAACACACCATAAGGATCAGCAGTAGGCGGGTTCCTTATTATATCCACTACGTTATCTATCTCCTTCTGTGGTAGAGACGCAACCACATGATGGAACTTGGTGGTGCTGCTGGTGATGTTTTTGAGGTGGAACTGGGACTCAGCGTTGATAAACCAGGATTCGCAGCTGTCAGGCCAGAAGACAGGCAACTTCAGAGCGACTGAATAGAGATGACTGGATGGGGAGGAATCCACCTGGTTTACTGCGCCAGTGGCCAAAGCTGGATCTCCAATCATGGCGGAAAAATAAATAACCACTGTCGAGCTAGGTTTTCGCTTACTGTGATAGCCTGTGGAGAAAACAGGGAGGCAGGTTCACTTTTCAGCCGAAAATAACACTAGCAAAAAAACAGAAACACTTACTCAAAACTTTGAGTTTTTATGTTATTTGAGTTTATATAAAGAATAATACAACGTGGTGGGTTGCTTTACTTGGACTTAGAAATGTATTCAATAGTCCTGGGTCACCAATTTGGCGGTTGGCTACAATTACGAAGAGTTTGAAACGATTAACTATATTTTAAACTTAAATTTACAAAGTTAGAAAAAATCATATCTTGAATATCACATGTTTAAACTACCTGGCCTCAGAAACTCCTCTTTTCTCTCTAGCTGCCGCGAGAGGTTCTCTAAGGAAAAGACGACTTTCATAGCCGCCACAGTATATATTTATGTATATACATAGAATTATCCATACATGTTTCACATGTTTTAATTCTCTAAACAATAAATGTTTTTTTCTTAAATTTATATGAATATGTATATACATACAATGATTCTAAGGTTCATGATTATCATTGTACAATGTACATACATGTACATAGAGTACTATGCCAGTACAGTTCAATGATCGCTAGGGTGTATAATCGGTACAGTACAGTTCAATGATAACCAGGGAGTATAGTCGGTACAGTACAGTTCAATGATAACCATGATGTATAGTCGGTACAGTACAGTTTAATTATACCCAGGGTGTATAGTTGGTACAGTACAGTTCAATGATACCCATGGTGTATAGTTGGTACAGTACAGTTCAATGATACCCAGGGTGTATAGTTTACAGTTCAATGATAACCATGATGTATAGTCGGTACAGTACAGTTAAATGATACCCAGGGTGTATAGTTGGTACAGTACAGTTCAATGATACCCATGGTGTATAGTTGGTACAGTACAGTTCAATGATACCCAGGGTGTATAGTTGGTACTGTACAGTTCAATGATAACCAGGGTGTATTGTCGGTACAGTACAGTTCAATGATAACCAGGGTGTATAGTTGGTACAGTAAAGTTCAATCATACCCAGGGTGTATAGTTGGTATAGTACAGTTCAATGTTAACCAGGGTGTATAGTCGGTTCAGTACAGTGCAATGTTAACCAGGGTGTAAAGTCGGTACAATACAGCTCAATGATAACCAGGGTGTATGGTCGGTACAATACAGTTCAATGATAACCAGGGAGTATAGTCGGTACAGTACAGTTCAATGATAACCAGGGTGTATAGTCGGTACAGTACAGTTCAATGATAACCAGGGTGTAAAGTCGGTACAGTGCAGTTCAATGATAACCATGGTGTATAGTCGGTACAGTACAGTTCAATGATAACCAGGTTGTATAGTCGGTATAGTACAGTTAAATGATAACAAGGGTGTATAGTCGGTACAGTACAGTTCAATGATAACCAGGGTGTATATTTGGTACAGTACAGTTCAATGATAACC